CTGCATGGTCAAGTCCCCCCACATAACTGATAATATTTGGGCGAGAGCTCAGTGGTGGGTTAACGACGGCCTACCGATGCGGAGCATCAGCACGGACCGCCTCTTCAGGGTTGATGCTGGAGATGCCCTTGAGGGCATCCTGGAGAATACGGGAGATCTCTATAGCCCGATGAGCGACGTACTGAGTAAACTATAATTACTGGAAGTCTCATACCAGGAGTGGAACGAGCACCTGGCTTTGAAGATGGGTGCTCTGGGATGCATTACTGGCGGCTTTAACGGAAGCTAGTGTTACTAAGCCTTTGGTCCCTGATTCTGTGAGATTGATACCCATTCCTGAGCATGAGTTGGCAGCTTAGAAACGGGATTTGAGGCTTCTGCGGATGAAGAAAACGCAACACTCGTCGTCCTGAAGAAATCCTTGGATCTATCACACGGGCTACAGTCTTGCATAGAGGAAACGAAGAAGGCCATTTCGGCAGGCTCAGGAAGGATCTGAGTGGTTGAAGACTCCCCAATAGCAGGACCGCTAGATGAAATATTGCTGTCGAAAAATTGAGTAGATGTACATAAGCAATCATTGACAAGTGAGTATAGGATGCCGGAAAGAACTCAGGCATGATACAAGAGTGATAGTCGGGTATAATATGCAGGCTTATGAGTGCCCACCTGTTGATCGGGCCAGATGCCAGGGTTCGTTACCACATACCCATGTGAAGTTCTCGTGTGTGAAGGAGGCTGAGAATTCCCCTGGATACTCAGAATGATTAAACGATGGGTCAAGTCTGGTCCAAATTCTACTGATGGCTATCATTGTCTCTCGGTACCAGAAAGCGGACGGTGAATCCTCTTGCGTAAGTGAATCGCAATAATGCGCGCACACACTCGAGTCATTCATTTGTCTCTGGTGTAATACGACAGGGCGACTCGGATAACTCTTCTGACCATTCCATCCTCGAATCACGAGGCGTTCACTTCGAATTGGATTCTGTATTTCAGTAGTCAGCCCGATCTTCGGATGGAATAATCAGCTCCCACGTGCTCCCTGGGGACATCAAGACTCCTCTCCGTTTTCTCTCTTTACAGTGAATATCTCGTCAAGGGGTTCCCAACTGGTCCGGGATCACAGTGAGATGAAGCATCAAGAAGCATCCTAGATTGGCAGGACACTGAGACAGCTGAGCAACATGAGGAAACGGCCTCGGGGAGTGATGAGCATCTGAGATAAAGGAATGGCCAAACGTGCAACGACAGGTTTCATACGGAGCCACGGTTTGACAGGCGTTCCAGAGGCTCGATGCTCAACCATCAGGTACCTCAAGGGATGTCCTATTGAATGCAACACCGTCTACTCACCTGCCATCTGCACCAGACGATAGCCCCAGTGCGGGCCGGTGGAGATCCGTTTCTGCATGGTCAAGTCCCCCCACATAACTGATAATATTTGGGCGAGAGCTCAGTGGTGGGTTACGACGGCCTACCGATGCGGAGCATCAGCA